CTGGAACAGAATAACCCACCAACATGACTCAAGCAAGCAGCACAGGTTAAGAAGCCAAAGGTCACCTTGCTCAGAGATGTGACCTAAGGCCACAGGCTGTTTAGACTTGGAGCAGGCTGAAGAGAAACACTAAACAGAGGTGCTTCTGGGACTTGGAGTTCTGGGCCCACAGTCACAACACAAGTGGGAGAGGGCCCTCCATCTCCCTGCCTCCGGTCACCCAGCACAGACCAGCAGCTTCTGGCCCACCTCAGCCCCTCTGGGCAGCCTGCTGCTCTCTTCATGGTACCCCGGGACCCCGGGTCCCTCCGCTGGAGCAGTCAACCTTCTGCTTAAAATGCATGTTCAAGGTCTGCACTGTACTCCTTTCTCACAGCACTGCTCACCTCCAACACACTGTGATAATTTACTTATTTATTAAGTGCCCTAGATTGGCTATCTTTTTAATCACACATAACCCCTTATCTAGATCACTCATCTTTTTTAAAATACTCTTGTATTTTTTAAAGAGAATATGAAATGATAAAAAATATTAGACGTTTGGATACAGAATTTCACTAAACAAAACAGGAATTTGACAATGGCTGTTGTATTGCATAATGTCATCTTTAAATTAGTTGTTTAGATTACCAGATATAAACATGCAAAATTGGTTTTAAAAGTTATAAAAAATTAAAAAGGAGAAGAAAAAAATTAAGCATTAAGTACTCCTTTCAAAAGACCAACAGAAATCAGCAGCACAATTATCTAAGCTATCCTGCATGTTTACATACACGTATCTTTTTCCCTTCTTTCTTTTGTCCTTTTCCTCATCCATCTTTCCCTCCCTCTGAACAGGATCTTCCTCCTTCACGGTATCTACTGCACCTTTCAGACTTTATTTGCTCTTTCAGGCTCTTACACCAGATCACTCATCTTAGTTATTCACGGAAATATCTCAAGTGCCAAGAACAGCACCTGGCCGGCAGGAGTATCTCAGGAAGCACTCACTGAATGAAAGGATAAACAATTTCAATTCTCCTTGTTAGACTGTCTCTTGAGAGCAGAAACTGTCTTTACTCTGTGGCCCTGTATGTTAAACAAATAATACCTCCCCACAAATGGCCACATCCTAATCCATAAAGCCTGCCACTATGTTACCTGCCATGACAAAAGGAACTCCACAGATAAGACTGCATTAAGGATTTTGTGACAGGGGATTATTTTGGGTAAATAATCCTGGACTAGCCAGGTAAATCCAAGGTAATGACAGGGGTGCTAAGAAGCCGGAGGCAGAAAGTCAGAGTCAGAGAGGCCAGAGTGACAGACAGAAGAATGGAAGCCACCCCAGTGGGCTTTGCAGAAGCAGGAAGGAAACAATAAAGCCAGGAGTGTGACTGGGCACTAGACACCAGAAAAGGCAAAGAAGGAGTATTCCCCAGAGGGATGTACTTCTGTTTACTCCTTGATATTCACACAAGGAAGCCCATTCCAGAATCTCTAGAGTTGGAAGAAATATACAGTCATGCTTAGACCACTGATTTGTGGTCACTGTGACAGCAGCCATTGGAATTCCACCCAGGGAGGAAGCACACTGCAGCCACTTTCGGTGCCTGCTCATTGAGTAGGCAGCCAACAAAGCAACGGTAGAGTAACATCAGCCAGGAGCCAACGGCGGTAGCCACTGGTGTCATTCTCCTATGTTTCTCCTTCAAATAGTCGCAACTCAGACAGTCATGAGAGTATTTCCCATGGTGACAGGTCCACACCCAACTTAGGAAGTTTTATTAATCAAATATGTAAATTTCCTCCACATAAAACCTCTTGGGAGAAAAGAAAGCAAAAGAAAGAGACCAACGCATAGAGTGAAAGGTGTGTGGTCGCAGCTGCGGCAGACTCGGCCCCGTTCCTGGCTCGCACTGTGGATCCCGCCGGCGGAGAAGAGGCGGCCACATCCTCCTCCTCAGCCCCAGTGCTGAGCCTGTACTTTTAATGCTGATAGCTCCAGTTTTAATGCTGATACTTGAGAAAGGAGAAGTGCTGGGAATTGGTAAGGACACATTTTTATGTTCCACAGAGAACTAAGAAGGGCTAAAAAGCAAAATGAAAACAAAAATACAAACTGCTTTTATTGGCCCTCTGCTTCCCAGCACTGCCCACTTACCATGACCTGCTATTATTTTCATCCCAGAAACTGAAAACTCAAAGACTTGGGTTAATCACTTACAATTACCAGTAAGGGGTTTGGACATGAGAGACTCTTCTCAGTTAACATTAATGAATCATGAAATTAGATAAAATGATATACAGAGCATATAACTATTTGCTTGTATGGAAAATAAGTCCTGACATTTTTAACACCAACAAACTACCTCATGTACAACTTAGAATTTTGTTTGGCCCAGTGTAATATGTTACAACTAGAAAATATTTTTTAAAAACTAAAAAATATGCTATTCTAATAGCAATTTTAAAGTTTATTCTCTACAATATCACAACATAATCTTTACAATGAGGTTTGCTCTTTTCTCTGTAGTACTAATTTATAGATATAATTAGAGAATGAAAACACGAAACCTACAATGTAGTTAAGTGTACTTAATAAGCATTTGTGAATAAATCATTCAAAGTGTCTGGGATGTCTTTGCCTGGAACAAGAGGAAGTCCCCAACATCAAGGCTACACACTCCCCACATGCTGAGGGGGGAAAATTACTGCTCTTTAGCAAGTATGCTACAGTTCACTTTTCAGCAGGTTGTGACTGTAACGTCCTAAACTAGAGTTAATGAAAACAAAAATTGAAACGAATGTATCTACAAAATAAACCATATTTCACGTTTAGTGATGGGACCACTCAAATCAGAGGGAATTTTCACCCGAGAGTGACGCGTTCCACTTTCTCTGTGGCAGGGGTGGGTGTACAAGTGTGGGAGCTGAATGCCTATTCTTCCCACCCGTCCGCCTTCCTATGTACAACGTATCAATGGCCATGGCGAGCTAGGGCTGGGCCAGGCTGAGGAGACAGTGACGGGACGCAGGCCTTCTGGGGGAAGCTTCCAGATGCAGGTCCTCACAGCTGTGCTCGCCAGCACCATACTTAGCCCGGAGTTCACAATAAGAAAGAAGATTTTGTCAAGGGTGCCAGTGTTTCTGCCTCCTGCAAACACATGTTCCTTGCTCACAACGGCTGTGTGGGGCGCACATCTGCCTCATTCCCTGTTGAGCCATCAGTCTAATGCCCAGAAGCATATCTAGCTTCATTCCAAACCTGCAACCTAACGCATCACTGCATTGCCTGTAACGCCCAATAAATCACGTCCCCGTAGCAGCAAATCCTGCACTGCAGAAGAAGACTCACATCACCATCAGCGGCACCTTCCTAAACCGTCAGAAAGACTCAGCAAGGAGGAATCATCCATATTCCTCCTGAGACTGTCCCAATTATACCTTTCCTGAAGTATCAGGTCTAACTTTGGACTCCATGTGTCAAGATTTAAGTGAGAAGTTCCAGAAGAGATTCATCAGACAGTCTGGAAGCGATTCATGACAGTCTGAAGACTGCAGGCCAGTGCATACCAAGAAAAAGGAAAATGTATTGAGTTTGGAAGTATGTGGTTGATTCTCAGTCACTGCAGAATACCAGGTCACACTGGGCTGAAACACCTATCTTCCTACTGTGCAACTGCCGTCCAAGACCTTGGGAAAAAACCACACCAGGAAGGAAAGAACACAGAACACACAACCCAGACATTTGCATAGCAGGGCTGAGCCTTGTCCACAGATCACAAAATCCAGGGCTGAGCCAGAATGTTCTAGTCTTTACCCCAGAGACTTACCTGGGCTAAATATTTATACTCTGAGTTGTGCCTTAGTCCACCTAGGAGGGACAGGTGACTAGGAACACATCACTTGAGGGTTCACATCTGAGAGCTGTGTTTGCTTTTAAAGCCAAGCTTGCCCGTCCCAAATAAAGTGCATCCTGTTTCCTTCTTGTTTTCAGTTACACAAGGCAGTATCAGATTCATAGTCAAATTTGGGTAGCACATACCTCTTTCACATCTCTTTGCAAAAGTCACTGAAGTCTCTGACATTGCTTTATAAAACAGTGCCCGCCCACACTTCTCAGCCCCACACCACTTTACTCCCTTGTACTTAGTCGCCGTTCGACAAACTTTACATCATGCTTTACTTTTTTCCCCAGTAAGTGACCACCCTAATGGCAGGGATTGGTTCTCTCCTGGAAGCCATCCCCCAGGTCCCTGTTGGACAACAGTTGGTACTGTACTCAATAAAAACCTGGTAAAAGAACAGACAACTATGTGAAACTCTGTGGTCTTCACTACAACTTTCTTCTTGAACTTGGACTTTGGTTTTAGGCTACATATTTCCCTGTTTCTGATGTGTTTTCTGCCTTTTAAGTAGTTTCATAGGCCAGCTAAACTCATAAAATGAAGCAGGATCCAGTAGATGGAGAGATAGGTATAAACAGATAGAGAAGATGCTTTAACTATCAAACACACTGGCGTCTAACAGATGGTGAAGTCCTTGTTGAGGACAGAAGATGAAATGAGCCAAACAGGGCCACTCCTCATTTAGCAGAGCAACCTTGATTTACAACTGACCATTTTCCTCCTCTCCTATGTGGGCTCTGAGGAGCTGATGTTTACTTGGGCAATACTGGCTGTCCCCTCTGCCTACTAGTCTTCTTCTTGGTGGGGTCTCAGGAAGAAAGGACCCAATAGATGGGCCCAACTGAGTCCACATCATGCTCATTTTCATTCTTGGATCTTCTGAAAGGAGATAAACAGCTTCCAGAGTGTTTGTTAGCTATACGATGCCTCTTCGCCCAGACATATCCCCATACGCAGAGCCATTCCACAGGAACATAAGGTAGAAGAAAACACAAGAGAATAGACCAATTTGATGGCAAATCAACAGTAGGCAAAGTCCTGGAAACATAAGGGGAGGGCAAGGGGGAGCACAATGACTGGAGAGGCCAATATGTCAGAGTGGGGTCTCACCTGTTTTACCACAGTAACTGTCCCAGGCGCCATGGCAACTACTGAGGCTACAGCAGTGGCATCATGAGTCTCAGTGCCCAGTTCAATGATCTGCTGCAGTATATTCACAGCTGTGGGATCGAGACGGTCACCTTGGAAGGAAGAAGCACACAGGAGACCGTCAGAGTCCGCTGAGGAGCTGTGTAGCGCCCAGCCGTACTACCCACTGTCGTATCAGTCTGTCTCCCCTACAGTGATCCTTCCCAGAGGACAAATGGGTTCTTAGTATACACTCACTTTGACAAGAAAAATAATTTGTGCATTACGTTACAACTTAACAAGCATTTTCTATAAGAACCTTTCAAAATACCAAGTAATCTATAAGGAGATGGCACTGCCACATCATCCCCATCATACTGACTTGTAAGTTGGGCACAAAAGCAAAGAAACTCACCTCTGGCCATTGAGGCAATTATGTCACAAAGCCAGAATCTAAGCCCACATGTTCTGAATCGCAGCCTGAAGACAAGAGTGTCCCTCACAGTGTCACTCCTGAGGGTACCAGCTGACATGGTCACATGCAGAGCCAAATACACTCACTACACAGGAGATGAGCAAAATCATCCAGTGATATCTCCACGATTCAACAAGGCAGCTTACACAATACAAGCCGGCTTAAACCTGGGCTTCTGCTTTAATCATATCCAAATCAGGGCTCCACATGGAGGGGCAGGGGCTCAGCACACCCTGCCTTCTCACACTGTGTGCTTGGCCACCTCCAGCCCCTGCACCCTGAGCCTGCTCAGCATTTCACTAACAGGGAGATTACCGTCTGGGGTCCACCCTAGCACAGGCCCATGAAGCTTTTGTTGGTGCTTACACCCCTAAGGATTTGGGGAGTGTGGGTGATCATCTCCCAATTGCAAGAAGTTATGGAGGGGATTTGTCTGCAGAGGAAGAGGAGGAGGAGGAGGAGGAGGAGGAGGAGGAGGAGGAGGAAAATGTTGAGGAATTCCTTAGTTTGAAGAGATTAGAGAAATATGTAAAATGTAGGAAATAGTGCAAAACTTGGTAGAAGAGCACCATTCAAATATGGCTACAGCAGTGTGGCAATGAGCCTGCTTAATGTCAATGCTTGTCACATTTCTGCAAAGTCCCCAAAATGAGGCAAAAGCAAGCGTCACTGGACAGGTGCCTTGCTAAATTAGCGTGAGAAGAGAAAGATTCCACTGAGCCAGTAGACAGCAATGCTTCTGTTAGTGATAGTGAAAGCTGTCCTATATAACCACCCTTCTCTCCTTCAGGCCCGCATGAAGGCTTTCAAAGGTAAGTGCAAATTAATTTATTTTTCTTTATATATGGAATTTTATTATTTTGTATTATACTACAGTATTGTTATCATTTTTATATTAATATTTTGAGGTTGTGGAATGAATCATCTGAGTTCCCATTAATTCCTATGGGGAAATTCACCTTGATACGCAAGCATTTTGGATGACAAGTGTGTTTCTGGAACAACCTGTGCTTGCAGCCAGGGCTTTGCTGCATTCGCAAGGCACCAGCTGTACCCTCTTCCCATGGCCACACATGCGCCCTGGAGCAGAGGACCACACAGGCCCTGCAGTCAGGCAATCCCAACACTGGAAGACTAAAGCATTTACTGGTAGATTAGATGTCAACTGCTCATCCACCTACTCCCTCAATGACCACTTGGTAAGCCCTAAGAGTCAGCAGGAACTGTGACTCCTACAGGTAACACCTGACACCATATCTCTTCCTGCTTCCTCCTGGGCTCACAGGCTCCTGGTACCCAAATGCAAGCAACCCATATGTCACCTATATCCTGGTAGACTTTGTAAGAACTGGGCAGGTAGGCAATACTGTCAGGAAGTGCAGTGGGCATCCAGTAAGGGACACACAGTCTGAGCACTGGAGGTGGGATCAGATGGGCAGAGAAAATGATGTGGGGAAGAAGGGACAAACCATCAATCTGAGACCACTGGAGCACCCAGGTGAGGAAAGCAGCCAAGGCTGAGAACCACAGCCTGGGGCACAAAGCAAGATACAGGGCAGCTCAGGCAGCTAGGAGCCAGTGCAGGAGGGCCTGGCCTGCCACACTGCACGCACAGTCTGAAATGCACTGGAAGGGCTCGAGAGACGCTGGCAGGCTTCAGAAGCCCGGTGTGCACATGGGAACGATTGTACTTGTGGCTTCTGTGGGGTGGAGACAGACAGGCTATTGGCTGTTTGCAGAGCTTGAGCAATAACTGGGCACAAAGGAAACACATGGAAGTGGGTCCTAGGCTCCGGGCTGCTCCTAACAGCAGGCCACTCCTCTGTAGCAGCACAGGCTCTGTCTCTGCATTCCCTCCAGCTGAGGATGGAATGGCCCGCCCCACCCACTCAGTTCTCTAAACTGACTGGCCTTTAGGAGCCTTGGTGCTGCTGTCTTATGACCTAGCATTGGCAAATTTAAGAATTGGGTGGAATCGGTGTTTCCCTCAGTCCTATACCCTACAGCATTTGACTCGAGTGTTGTGTTTCTAATCCCACTTGCTTAATCTCTTCCCCAAATATAGATGGAACTATGGAAAGTAACATTAAGTTGTATTCGCAGAGCATCAGAAAAAGCTGTTTCCAAGCACAATGATTGACTGCCACTAGACTAGTAGTTAGCTCCTGAATTTTTCTAAAATTTAAAAATTCATCACACTTGATGTAAAATTCCTGGCTGGGCCTTTTGGGAAGATCACAGGGTGGGAACTGAGTGATGTACAACACGTGAGTGTGGATCAGTAGCCCTGGGTCACAGGTGATCTGCAATGGGACTCAGCACACCAATTACCACCGCTGCCCTCTACTGCCTGCCTGGACCCTAAGGACATTGGGATGGGCCCCTGGAATGGATGAGCATGAGGAAACACGGCACAGGGACTGCACCCCAAGAGGTCTGCAGAGCCAGCTCCATGACCAGCTCCATCACCAAGAGCAGGCATGGGCATTCCCCACTCCACCCGCCATGAACAATGCAAGCCACCTGCATAACTGTGAAGCGTGAACAGTAAGCTCGCCGCCTCACAAGCTGTTCTGGGAGTGAAGTGCTATGTCACTGGAAAATCTTACAACCCTGTCACAGGGTATGTCTCTTGCTGGGACTCTATTCTGGACCACCTCCAGAGAAAGAGATCCGGAAACCTAACAAGAGGCCTGCTTCTTGCACAGTGAATGCTGGGTTAGGGGCTTTGATATGGGTTGAGTGATGAACATCATTCATTCATTCATTCATTCATTCATTCATTCATTCATTCAGCATATAAGGCCAGCTCTGAGGCCTCAAAGACAGGTATGCCCTCACCACTTTCAGAGGTGTATCTCAGGTCCTGGAGGGCGGCCACAGCTGCCTGAGTCCCCTGAACGTCTTCTTCAGCCTCTGTGATGTGGAGATACTGCGTGGAGGGCTCCTCAGGAGTTTCTGCTGCTGGCTAAATGCAAACATAATACCAAAGTGGCCAAAGTTACCAGAAGTTTCAGGATAATGTAGTAAGACAAATACACAGAAGAAAGGAAGCATTTGTAGTACCTCATTTACATGGCACTGCCCCCAAACCAGCTGCCCTAATAAATATATGTCCTAAAGAGAAATCATCCCTTTGCAAGAACCAAAAGTTTATAAAACCAGACTTAGTGATACCCACACTTGCCACAGGGAACAGACTGTGCGGTTCACAGTCAGAGATTTGCAAGCCCGACATTCCCACACACGCACTCCTAATCCACTGCCTTAACCACTTGGCCACGACTACATTCAAACATGCACTTCCAAAGGCTTCTCTGTCCCCTCCCACTGCTACCAATACTGCTTCTTATGCTGGGGTCCTTGTGCCATATGGGAACAGGTGATGGTCAAAAGGGGGACAGGAAAGGAGGAGGACAGGAATGTAATTATACAGCATGCAAAAGCACAGGTCCTGGCACACGGTCAGAGTTCACTAAATCATAGCCATGTGTGCCATTCTTTTTTTTTTTTTTTTTTTTTTTTTTTTTTTTTGGGGGGGGGGGGGGGGAGGTTTGCAACTGGGGATTGAACTCAGGCCCTTGCACTTGCCAGGGAAGCGCTTATTCTACTGAGCCATCTCCCAGCCCATCCATTCTTATTTTTACATGAAGGGCATCAAACCAAAAATGACTACAAGAACTGTATCTGGCAACTATCAGGACTAGTGAGTATAGAAGTGGAGGTGACACCCACGGGTACCTCATACCTAGAGAAGCGGTGGATCAGAACTTTCACAGATTAGATATTAATGATGACCTCTTTCTATCAGGGCTGGGGAGCATAAGCAAAATGTGAACGTCACCGAGAAAGAAGAAAAAAGCAGGACTTTGAGGTTTATGGTAGGCAGAGTTATGAGCTAACAGCACTGATCAGAGGCTGACAGTGAGGCTCACAGTAGCATGTAATTGTCCTTTTACAACTAACCAGGCAATTTCATTTAGATGTTTCCCGCTTGACATATAGGAGACTCAGTAACTACTTGATAAATGTAGAAATTAACAAAAAGAAGAGGTGGCATTTCCACTTTTAAGTACCATTAGTAGCATATTTAACCAGCACTGGCCTTGAGCTACAGTATGCCTCTGTCCGCAAAGACATAGCCCCTCTCACTCCAGGGTCATAACCACTTGTCATCATTTAGGAAGCACCGTGCTCGTTGCAAGGCATGCCTGGGAGCCAGGTGACAGCCCACACTACTACTTCCTGATGGCCCACCTTTACTGGGCAGATCTCATCCACAACACTTCCTTGGCCTGAGAGCGCACAGCAAAACACTTTTTCCAACTGCCACCTACATCAGCTCCTTTATTCCTGTCCCTTTCAGGGTGATAACATCATTCATCCATGACACAAGTTGATTAATTTGCCACAAATACCTTTGTCCCTGTTTTGGTAGTCCTGGGGATTTAACTCAGGGCCTTTATACTAAGCATCATCTACTTCCTTTTTATTTATTTGTTTGTTTATTTTTAATTTTGAGACAGGGTCTCATTAACTCATTAAGCTGTGCAGGCTCAGCCTGAAGTTGCCACACTCCTGCCACTGTCTCCTGGAGTGCTGGCCTTACAGGGATGAGCCACCACACCTGGTGGGCACTGTCTTCCTAAAAACTACTCACAAAACACCCTCCCAACTCTTCAGGGCACTTTTTTCACATACCAGCACACCGTAGAGACACCCACAGAATCAGCCAGGGCTGGCCCTCTTCCTTCCCACAGCTGCATGGCTCGCCAATCTCTGGCTGATAGACACTAGGTTGCTTACAGCCACAGACTCGAATATATAGCCTTTCATGGAGCCTTTTTCTCATTTAGTCAGTGTAATTTGGAGGTGGTTCCCTACGAGCAGCAAGGAACACAGTCTGGCCAACGAACACAGAAATGTGTATGCAATTTCATTCCGTACTGCTACCTGCTTCTCAGGGGTAGAGTGCACTTTCTCACAGCTTCTCCAACAAGAATGATATCAAACTTTTGGACTCCTGTCACTCTAACAAGGGAGAAATCCTACCTCAGTCTAGTTTTAATGAACACTGCTCATTATGTGTGGAGCTGACCACACTCTCAGGTACTTGAGGGTATTTGCATTTTTTCCATGAGCCTTTCTCATTTCATGCTCTTTCTTCAATTGGGCTGTTGACGTTTTAATCAGTGTATCTGGAGCCTCTTATAGAGGAAGGATTTTTTTTTTCTATGACATTACTGAAAATACTTTTTATCTTTTACCATATGGCACAAGGCCCCAGTGCAATGGGTTGAGACATTTAAAAATGTCTAGAAGACTTTTCAGTATTTTATGCAGTTATTTTTTTCAATCTATCCATTGCTGAATCTACATTATTAATTGTAATTAAGAAAGTTCTTCACATTTTATAGGTGAATTCATTCATGATTTCATCTAACATTTGTAAAACATCACAATTTTTACATTTAAGTCTCTGATCCTTTGGAAATTTATCTTATCTGAGTTCTAAGGAACAGATCCAACTTCATCTTTTTCTTTGTGGCTATTTAGCTACTCAGCACGGCTCATTAAATGGCCACATTTCTTCTGCTACCAACACGAAATGCCCTCTTCACATGACGCTAAATTTCCCCAAATCACTGGGAAGTCTTTGAATTTTCTCTCTTGCCTCGGTAGGCCTCTTCGCACACCAGCACCACAGCGCCTGGTTATAGAGGGCTCGTAACACGTTTGCTATCAGACAGCTTTCTGCTAACGCTGTCAGTTTTCCAAGGTGTTCCTCAATAGTCCTAATTATTCTTCAAAATTAACCTCAGAAATCAAGCTGATCATCTCCAGAAAAAAATATCTAATGATCCCTTCACTATATTACATTGCTATATCATCTCATGAATTACTTTAGGAGTATCACCACCTTTATGCTATTCATGATGGAACCTGTTCATCACGTTCAACTTCAAGTTTATGTCTCCAAGGAGTGTTTTATGGCTTCCCATGTACAGAGTTATGCATCAGTTTCTATTTTTCTGTTTCCTGTAATAAATGGTATCTTTCCTTCCTATCTTTTATCTGCTTTTTTTTTTTTTTTTTTTGAGACAAAAACTCAAAAAAAGCCATTTAAAACTTTTAAGTGTTTGAAGTTTAG